CCTTTTCACTTGAAGCTACTAAAATGTTTTGTTCTGTGCTGGTGGCATTAGGGACTTTTGTTGTTCAGTGCTGCAGAGGTAGACTCGGACCTGTTTAAAGATCAGCCGGGTGGCTGGTGCAGAAGGGCTGCCTTGCTTCAGCCTTCGCTCCCCATGGCACAGCCACCTTCCTGGATAGCCGGTCAGGGAGGAGAGCCTCCTGCGTCTTCCGCCCGCCCGCCCTCCCTCCCTCCTTCCTCCCTTCCTTTCAGCAACTTTGTGGAGACGTCATTTACATATCCTCTATTTCACCCACTTAAAGTGTACAGTTCCGTGTTTTTTGTCTGTCTGTGGAGCTGGACGATCATCACCATAGTCAATTTTAGAGCATTTGCCTCACCAGCCGTGACTCCCCACTCCCTCCTCCCCAGCCCCTGGCTGCCGCTCACCTGCCTTCTGGTTCTGTAGACCTGCTTCTTCTGGACATTTGCTTATTCATGTGTGTGGGATCATACGAATGTGGTCTTCGTGACTGGTTCCTTTCACTGAGCGTGACGTGTCCAGGCTTCGTCCGTGTGGGAGCGGCTGTCAGCCCTTCATTCCTTGTCGTAAGCTGACAGTATGTTCCAGCATGTGCCCGGGTCGCCCGCTGATGGGCCTCGGGACTGTCCCCACACTCGGGCTCTTCAGCCTTGAAGCCGCCGCTTTTCCTGGAGCCGGCGTCCTCGCCTCCCTCACCCGTCCGCTCCCATCCTGTTCTCAGTTTGTTTTCATCGCCGTCATGCGCTGGGAGTTTTGACCACTTGTGTATGTATCCGACGTGATAGATAGTTTCATTTTCTCGTTTTAAAAAACTTTGTGTAAATGACATCATACTGTGCATATTCAAGTTACTCTTCGGTGGTAGGCTTATACGTTTACCGATCTTGGCTCTTGCAGTTCCTTCGTTTTTATTGTGGTTATATGTGTATGTTCCAGTTTGTTTATTTGTTATTCAGTTGATAATGGACAAAGGGATAATGTGAATTCATTCTTCAGTTGATAATGGATAAAGGTTTTTCTTAAATTTTTTTTTCTTTTTAGCATTAGCGACATCGCTGAGCCTGCCTCCTGTGTCCTTACGCGAGGGTTTTTCCCGGTGTGTGCCTAGAAGTGGCATTATGTCTTGTGTATCTGCTTTTCGTGAGGAATCACTGGGGTCCTCTTTAAAGCAATTAAAGAATTGCTGTGGTGTTTTTAAGCAGTACAATTTATTAAAAAGTTTATTGGTGAACATATTTTTTAAAGAATGATTTCATTATGTGGAATGAGGTAGGTATGTTAGTTGCCACTTATTCTTTTAAAATGGCTTTAGCTGAAGCCTGTTTTTCTTTTTAGCTATGCAAGACCGATAAAAATGCAATTTTAATAAGATAAAGTGAGATGCCTTTTAGTCTGAGCTTGAACTTTGCTGGAACATTTTCTACTCGATAAACACAAGTGGTGTGCCCATGAAGAATTAATGCGTTGGTGCTGTCCTGGGAGGGAAGGGGCCCGCAGTGTGCGGTAACACGGCAAGACCTGTGGAAATGCCTTGCACGTAGAGGGTAGAGACCCACTGCCTGCTGGTTTTGAGCCATATTCGTGTACTGAGACATAAGGGAAGGGTGCAAGCCAACAAGGTAGGTGCATAATACTGGTGAGTGCTGTCTGTAGGTCACTTGGCGGTAGTCAAGCTGCTGCCATTTATGGCTGTCTCATTTCTTACACGTTCTTATTCCCATTTCGGGGATGAGGAAGCTAAAGCCTAGAGCAGTTCCCAGGCCCTTTGGTTCTTAAAACAGGAAACCTTCTACCAAGGTCAGGGAAGCCTCCAAGAGATTTCTGGAAAGGGACCACGTCAGAGGGGTTGTGCATGACCTCCATGGGCTGATACTTTTTCTTTCCAACAACAACAACAAACCCCCAAACCCTCCTGGATTCTGTGGGTCAGACTGGTCACTTTGGGGATGCGCGCGTCTCTGTTCCATGGTGTCACTGGGAAGATTCAGAGGCTGGGAGGGAAATCAGAAGAAGGCTGGTGACTCATGCCTGTCGAGGTTGGTGCCGGCCATCATCAGCTGGGACCCCCCCCCCCCCGAAGCTGTTGGTTCCAGTGCTTACATGTGGGCTTCTTCAAAGCCTGGTGGCTGGGTTCCAAGAGAGAACCCGAGAGAACCAGGTGGAAACCGTGCTGCCTTTAAAACTTACATCTTCACTGAGACTCACATATGAGAATAGTTCACCCGTTAAAATTCACGGACAACACCATTCCCTCGTTTAAGGGGTGAAAGTCAGCGGGACTGCGGTGTATCCACAGACTTAGCTCACCATCACCACAGTCAATGTTAAGAATATGTTTGTCCCCTCAGGAAGAAGCCCTGTAGGCTTTTGCTGTCACCCCAGTCTCCCATCCTCCACCCCGAGCAACCACTAGTCTCCCTTCTATCTCCCTTCTAGACATTTCATGTTGGCGGGATCATAGAACAGGTGTTTTTTAATGACTGGCTTCCCACGCATAGCGTGATCAAGGTTCTTCCGGGTTGTAGCGTGAGCCAGCACTTTTATTTTCTAGCTGATGACTATTCCATTGAATAATATTTCAGTTTACCGTGTTTTTGTTCTCCAAGAACATTATAAATGCCAATTCATTTTTTTAATTTTTTTGGTAAACTTAAAGGTTCTTGCGAGTTTGGAGTCCAGTGTGCTTGTCTTTGCCTGCCTGATACTCCTCACAACCCCCGTCACAAAGTGGGGGCTATCAAATGTCTGCTTAATTTTGCTGAAACATTTTAGTTTAAAAGGGAACATTTTCTGTAATTAAAATGTTGTGCCACAGGCACAGGCATGGAGGAACGAATGGAAAACTGAAAAAATGCCCCAGTATAGAATAATCTCCTGCGTATTGAAGACAGTGTCCGTAAAAGCGTAGGGAATAGGTTGGGTTTTTAACCAATGTCATTGGAGCAGTGGGTTATTTTTTTAAAAAAGCTTTCTACAGTCTGTAGCAAAATAAAGTAAATTTTAGGTGACTCAAAACTTAAGGGTAAAAAATAAAAGCACACAAGTGTGGAACTAGGACACAGTTGGAGATTTACACCATCTCAGTAGGTCGGCTGGGCTGAATGTTCGTGTGCTCCCAAGCCCCACAGGAAGCCCTAACCACCAAACTGAGGGTGTTAGGAGGCGGGGGCTTTGGGGAGGTGAGGGGCTCCTGAGGCTGGAGTCCCCTGTGGTGGCACTAGGGCCTTTATAAGAGGTCTCTTTGTAAAAGAGACCCCAGAGAGCTTCCCTGCCTCTTCCGCTGGGTGAGGATGCAGCAGGAGGCAGCAGCTGAGGCCCTCACCAGATACCAAATCTGCCAGCACCTTGATCTTGGACTTCCAGCCTCCAGAACTGTAGGGAATAAATGTCTTTGTTTATAAGCTGCCCCGTGCGTGGTATTTTTGTTATAGCAGCCGGGATGGACTAAGACAGTTGGGGGTGGGCCGTTTTGAGTAGAGTCCTCAGAGGAGAGCCCCGTGTAATGCATAAAAGTGAGGTTGATTTAACCACAGAGACCTTTAAGCTTCCATAAGCCAGGAAGATGGCTTTGTCACCTGTCTGTCACCATTCTGTTCTCTTTTGGTTTTCTGTTGCTGCTGTAACAAATCAGCATAACCCTCTTGGCGTATAATACACACTTGCTTTCTTAGAGTTCTGGAGGTCAGAAGTCTGACGTGGGTCTTGCTGGGCTAGGATGAAGGTGTTGGCAGGGCTGCAGTACCTCCCGAGGCCCATGCTCTTTCTCATCTCTCTGCTGTCCCCGTGTTCTCGGGGGGTTGATATCTCCTGCTCATTCCTCATGGTGGCAAGAAGGCTGGGCAACCTCTAGACCTCACACGTGTGTTCCAGCAGATGAGGAAGGGCCCACACTGCTGGTGACTTGAGCTGCACTGGGTCACAGGGCCTCCCCTGGCTGGATGCCCCCTGCCGAGGAAGGGGTGCGGGTGCGGCCACTCAGTGGACCACCCTGGTGTCTGCCACGGGGGCTGTTTTGTTTCCATCTGTTTTCCAAGTTTACTCTGATGAGCAGAAGACTTTATTTTTAAATTTATTTTTTATTTTTTTTTTAAAAGATTTTACTTAAGAGAGACAAAGCGTGCGAGCGGGGGGCAGCAGAGGGAGAGGGAGAAGCAGGCTCCCCACGGAGCAGAGAGCCCAGTGTTGGGGCTCAGTCCCAGGACTCCAGGATCATGACCTGAGCCGAAGGCAGATGCTTAACCGACTGAGCCACCCGGGCGCCCCCAGAAAACTTTTATAATAAAATCATTAAGTCTTTAAAAAACACGTTGGGCGTCTGGGTGGCTCAGTTGGTTCAGCTATTGCCTTCGGCTCAGGTCATGATCCTGGAGTCCCTGGATCGAGTCCCGCATCGGGCTCCCCGCTCAGCGGGGAGTCTGCTTCTCCCTCTGACCCTCCCCCCTCTCATGTGCTCTCTCTCTCTCATTCTCTCTGTCTCAAATAAATAAATAAAATCTTTAAAAAAAAATAAAAAATAAAAAACACGTTTATCTTCTTTTAGTGATTCTGCATTCTGTCTTTGACAAAATGGCAGCAAATGGGAATTTCCAGACGGGCATTTCAGCATTAGTTTGTAGTCCTGCCGGTGGCACACGGTCCGGGAGCAGAGGCTGCTGGAACTTGGCAATGCTGAGTGGCTCCCAGCTCCTAGCAGCCTCATTGGCAGCAGCGCCTGAGGCCCTGCCGATGCGGTCAGGGCTGCGGCTCTCTGGGCTGAGGCCCATTTGCCCGGCAGGCTGAATGCCCCATTGTGTGTGTGGCGTGGGCTTGTATGGCACCATTCATCCCTTCCAGACGGGCCCTTGGGACCCGTGGCAGCTGATGGAGAGTTGCTGCCCTCAGGCGTGTGGGTTACTGGGAACTGGTCCTTTTCCCGAGTTATTGTGGGCTCTTGAGGAAGCCCGAGAGAAGCTAATCGGTTTTCCTTTCTTTTTAAACAGCATCCAGCATGTGTATGGCGCCCAGCACCCCCCCTTCGACCCGCTGTTACACGGCACGTAAGTGAGGCCTGTGCTCATGCCGCGTTACGCACGCTCCTGGGGGTCCTGAGGGGAGGAACGTGGTCTTCCCTTGAGCAGACATGTGTCAGGGCCTCGCACGGCTGGTCCTCCGGACAAAGGCAGAGAAGGAAGCCCAGCCCAAAGTGGAGGGGTCTGTGAAGGAGAGCACGAAGCTGGCACCCCCTTAGCTGACGGGGAGGGCCTGGCCCCAGGCCTGTTCACGGTGGTTAGCTCACTTCCCTTGCCTTCCGCTGTGCTCTCTGCCCGGCTGCCCGGGGCTCGCTCTGCCCCTGTGTCTGCGCTCCTCCACCAGGGCCACGCGAGAGGGTGGTGTGGCCCCCTGCCCGTGCTGGGGATGTGACTGGACCCACCGCGGGGGGCTCTTGCTCTGGTGGTGCTGTATCCGAGTCCACACGCCGAAGGCCTGGGTTGTGGGAACAGCCGCTCCTGCCTGCGCCACCCCCACTGCTGCCTTAGGAGGTTTGCGGGCACCGGCCCAAGTGAGGTGTGGGGACTCCAACTGAATGCTCTGACCGCGGTGCTGGGGTTCCTCCTAAATGGCTTCTGTCACCGAGCAGAGACTGCTCAGCGGTACTGCCCCTCGAGAGCCTCTCCTTCCTGCCCCTGAATCCTAGGAGTCCTCTTCTGTTTTTTTTTTTTTTTAGGATTATTTATTTGAGGGAGAGAGAGAGAGAGCGCATGTGCAAGAGTAGGGGGGAGGGTGGGGGGGGAGAGGGAGAAGCAGACTCCCCACTGAGCAGGGAGCCCGATGTGCGCTCGATCCGAGGACCCCGGGACCACGACCTGAGCCGAGGGCAGGCACTCAGCTGGCTGAGCCCCCGGGTGCCCCAGGGGTCCTGTCTTGGATGTGTCTTCGGGTTGTGCTCGCCCTTCACCCCCAGCTCAGTTGACGCTGAAAAGCTCGAGCGTGCACCCTTCATCCAGGGGCTCCTTTCTGACCGGTCGCGGGGTGAGTCCTCTCCGGCCTCCGAGGGGACAGCTAAAATCTGCCTTCGCTTTGCAGCTTACTCAAGGCCGCGCCCAAGGCGCCCGCCACACCCGTGAAGGCCAAGAGAGTCAGCACCTTCCAGGAGTTCGAGAGCAACACCAGCGACGCCTGGGACGCGGGCGAGGACGATGACGGGCTCCTGGCCATGGCAGCCGAGAGCCTGAACACCGACGTGGTCATGGAGACGGCCCACCGCGTCCTGCGCAACCACAGCCAGCGGCAGGAGCGCCGCAAGCCGCAGGACGCGCCGGGCCCCGAGCAGGAGCCAAAGCCTTCGGCAGAGCCTCCTTCGGTCCCGAGCGGTGACCTCCGGCTGGTGAAGTCCGTCAGCGAGGGCCGCACGTCCTGTCCTGCAGGTGGGGTGCGGGCGCGAGGAGTCGACGTGCCGTGCTGCGAGGGAGAGGGGCTCGAGTCCTTCCTGTGCGGGATGTCCGTGGGCGCTCCGTCCTGTTTGCCACAGGAGCTCGTGCCCTTGAAAGACCTTGAGGTTGTGATCCGCGTGCCCACAGGCCTTCCCAGGCAGGAGAAGCCGTGGACTTTTCTTTGCGTCCCTAGCTGAGTGCTTCTCTCCTCCGGGTGGAGGGCGTGGTGTGTGGCTTTTGTGGCCTGGCTCTGAGAGGCCCACAGTGAGCACCAGGCCCCCGGGGACTGTGTCTCCCTTCTAAGTGTGCCCCGTTGTCCCAGGGGGACATTTCCAGCTGAGGGGCCAGGCCAACTGCACATTCAGAGGCTGCACCTCCTTCGGCAGCTTCCAGTGACAGCCCCCCCGCCCCCCAGGACACCTGCACGTGGCTCAGAGTCTGGGGTGTGGAATGACCGCATTCAGGTCATAAACTCAAGGATGGGATCAGCACATGTCTTGTACCCCTGTGCCTGGTGCTCAGTAGCCTTTCTGGAGACAGCTCTCATTAGTTTTGCTCTCTGTGTTTGGGGGGTGTCTGTGATGTAGAACAACACAGTATTTGATGAGCCTCTGTGATGGGTCAGGCTCTTAGGGCTTGGGGTGCCCCCAGGAAGTCCCTGGCCTGGAGTGTGTGTTGTGGTGAGGGGGACAAGCACTGACCTACACGTTGGGTCGGTAAGGAGGCCTGGGGCGTGCGGGGAGGAGACAAGTACCCTGGGTCGAGACAGAGGTGAGATGTGGTCACAGCAGCCTGGACCTGGGGCGTAATCTTCAGTCAGACATCCAGATGCCCTGCTGAGAAGGTGACACGTGAGCATCAGTGAGCTGAGGGAGCGAGGCATGGGGAACCGGTGGCAGAGGGGCCGGGCTGCACAGCCGCGGACTCACGGACTCCCTCTCCCAGGGTCTCTGGGGGTCAGGGGGCCTTGCCCCTTGTTTACAGAGGAGAGAAGAGGGCATCGTGCAGCCTCAGCTTGCCCTGCTGGGACCACGGAGCTGGCGTTGATCCCTCTGTCTAGTTTTCAGAAACCCTTCCCTGGAGCTGACTAACGTTTGCAACATCACATATCTTCGTAGGTGAGAACGCTGTGAATTAGTTCCTTCGACCAGTTTTCATATTGGAATCTGAACTATTTTTCTCTCAAATAGGCTGAACTTTAAAGTATTTGAGTTTAAAAATGAAAATCTGGTTAGGGCTTCTGCGAGTGGGTCGGGGATCCCCGATACTGACGCAGCGCATGCCGGTTACCGCCCGCGTGCCCCGGCCAGGCAGCGCCCTCAGCCTGGGTGCCTCTTCAAGTTGGCAGGCGCCCCGAATTCCTCTGCCCTTTGCTGTGCCCCACGCCTCTGGGGCCTGGGTGGAGCCTCTGTAACACCTGCCATCTGAGCGGTTGCTGGGGGGGGGGGGGTCGCTCAGCAGCCCTGGAGGTGGGGGCCCATCTCGGCTGAGCGGGCAGGGTCTTGTTCTCTTCAGGCCGTGGGCTGCTGTGGCAAGAGTGCCTCAGGCCGCTGGTGTACGAGCAGCAGGAGGTTATGTCTCATAGTTCTGGAGGTCAGGCGGCCAACACGGTTGGGTCCTCTCTTCGGGGTGCAGACAGCTGCCTTCTCACAGTATCCTCCCTACATGGGGGAGACTAGAGAGGGGAAACAAGCTGTCTTGTGACTCCTCAAGAGCACCGATCCCATCAGGGGACCCCACCCTCATGACTTCTTGGAAACCCGAGGCCCTTCTTCCTAACACCATCCCGTCCGGGGTGGGACTCGAGCGAACGGACTTTGGGGCCACACAGCATTCAGCCCATGGCCACGTATGCAGATGGGCTGCATCCAGCCAGGGTGGGGAGCCTTGGGGTGGCCTCCTCCTGTAAAAGCCAGGTGAGGGCTGCTCCAGGCGGCTCATGCTGGGGAAGGGGCTGGTAACTGTGTTTGCCGTCTGCCTCCAGCTGCTTGTGCAGCAGCCATCTTTCCGTTGCTCTCTGAGCAGGTCTTTCGTGAGCAGTTCGCGTCATAATAGCAGCTAGCGTTTATCCATTGCTTACTGTGGGGCAGAGACTGTCGCAGGCCCTCATCATGAGCAGATCCCTCCGACTTTGCAGCCAGTCTAGGAGAGAGCTTACGGGGAAGGTATGGGGAGGTCACATGGCTCACCCAGCATGCTGAGCGGTGGGGTAGGGTTCACGTCCAGGGCGTCTGAGGCCAGGGCCTGCTGCTAGCTGCTGACCTCCCCACAGAGAGCAGGGCCCCTCTGCTGGTGATTTCGCCCCCAGGGTACACGAGATCATGTTTTAGGACCTTTCCTGTTAACATCTGGGGCAGGGAGTGTGTGCTCTTGGCATGAAGTAGGCGGAGACCAGGGTGCTTGGCCCCCAGGGAACTCTCTGGACCGACCGTGCACAGTGCCAAGCAGAAGAGGGCCGCTCTGGAGCCTGAGGTGGCCTCAGGGAGCTGACCCCACGGGTGGCTGGCAGTGGTGGGCAGAACTCATGGGCCTGTGTTCAGTTCCCTTGGTGGCCTTTTAGTCATGGGGATAGCTTACTTGGCGGTTTTGGCGCTAAGATGACCACGTCAGCCCTCATTCTTACTAGACTGGGTCCAGCGCAGATGTGTTGACTGGCAGTCTAGTGGGGAAACACAAGGGTCCGAGTCTTTCACTTCCGTGGGTGGAATGGAGCCCTGGAGTGATGGACAGGACCCAGAAGCACCCAGGGGTAGAAGTCCCAGTTTAGTCTTGTTGAGGAAGGCCAGGGGCATGTCAGGGAAGGCTTCAGGGAGGAGGTGATGTCTCTAAGGTTACCAGGAGGGTGAGGTTCCAGGCTCAGGAGGTGAGGCCATCCCAGCTGAGGGGAGGTGCCGGGTGGGCTGGGCCGGCTGACTGCACACCTCATCTACGTGGTTTGCAAGTTCCTCCAAGGCAGGGACCATGTCCCATTGCCTTTGTTTCCCCTTGGTGTCCTGTGTCATTGCATGAATGTTGCTGAGCTAAACTGAGCTGTCCTCAGGGCCTGGTGACCGTGGGCTCTCCCCTCCTCCATGTTCTGCCCCACCCTCGTCCCTGCACCGGCCCCACGGGCCAGGTCCAGGCCAGGCCTCTGTTGAGGTGAGGGACCTGTGAGTGCCATTTCCTGTGACTGTGCTCGTAGGAGCGGTTTTGTGTCCTTTGGAAAGTCCTGGACGCCGTGTTTCACGGGGCCCAGTCTGGTTAAAGTGCTGCCTGCCCTTGCCGCTGCCAGCATTGTGTCGGGCGCCTGTCCCTTTATGGTGCACCGCTGTGGGAGCTCGCGTCACCCCACGCGGTGTCCACAGGGCCTGCTGGCTGCCTTCTCCTTTGGCCTTCAGCCCTGGGTAGATGGCGGCCTGAAACTTCCGGGATGCTGCAGCGGGGGCTCTCAGGCTGGCCTTCCCTGCGCCTCCTGCTTACCTTTTTTTTTTTTTTTAAAGATTTTATTTATTCATTCATGAGAGACAGAGGGATAGAGAGAGAGAGAGAGAGAGAGAAGCAGAGGGAGAAGCAGGCTCCCAAGGAGCAGGGAGCCCGATGCGGGACTCGATCCCAGGACCCCGGGATCACGACCCGAGCCGAAGGCAGACGCTTAACCATCCGAGCCACCCAGGCGCCCTCCTGCTTACCTTTTGACTGTCCTTTCTTAATCAGCGTCTGAGGCGTCTGTACCTCTGTACCTGAAGTCAGATGCCCTCTGCTTGGTCTAGGGTGCTGCTGGCGTAATGGCGAGGCCGTGCCTTTGGCTGCGAAGTGCTCAGTGGGCGTGGCTGGGGAGGACTGTCCATCGCTGATGGGCACTGAGCTGCAAGTGGGTCCTGGGTGGACACTGGCGGCCCCGGAGGGGGACACTGATGTGTTTCCCATTTACAGTAGCAGGGAGACCTGGCTGTTGACCTTCCTGCTTCCTCGGGGGGCGGGGGGCATCACTGTGCCTTTCAAACCCTGCCTGTCCCATCTTAGAGGGGGACCGGATGTGTGCTCTGTTCAGGGCGATGTGGTCCTTACATGTCGGAGTAAATCACACGGATGCTCTCTAAGATGGCAGAGGAGTAAAACCCAGCACGTTTGATTGTGCGGTAGAATGAGGAATCACTCCTCCTGCCCACCGTCTTTCCTGAGGAATCATGACGCACAGCGGAGTGACAGATTCCGAGGGTGGGGAGGAGGGGGTCTGAGCATCGCTGCCACGGGCCTTCCGGAGAGCAGGCAGGTGGGGACGCCTCCTGCAAGCGAGGGGTCAGCCCCGCGGAGGGGTTGGGATTTGCTCTCACCTCGACGCCCACTTCTCCAGGCTTTTCTGGAAGCTTAACTGGGCCAGACTCTGCTCCTCCATAGCCTGAGGGTTTCTGTGTGAAGCCTTTCTGGGCCCTGATTTTAGGGTAATGAGTCGGCTCTGCAGGAAGCGGGGGGCTGGTGGGAGTCTGACAGCAGCGGCCGGGAGCGGCGTGTTTCTTCACCTTGTTTGTTTCCCGCCCATCTCCTGGAGTTGATTTTTCCCTCTACTTTAAATTTCAGTTCTGGGAGATGTGACCTGGGGGTGTATAGCCTGGCCCTGCCTGTTCCTTGTGGGCCCCTCGTTGGTCCCTGGTGGCTCTTTCTGAGTGGATGTTGGGCCTTGGGCTCTCTCCTGTGGCTCTTCCTGGTCCTGTGTTCCTGGGTTTAATGCACGGTTTCACCTTGGCCCTGTGTGTCCCCGTCGGTGGGCCTTTGTGCATGGTGGTAGGTGGTGCCCTGGGGAAGGGGGTGCTGGGCAGGCCTGCAGCCTACTGCTTCTCCTCTGCTTGCATGCGCTCTAGCTTCCTGTGCTTTCTCTTGGTGATGGTCCCTGCCCACCTCCCTCACGGGGCTTGGGGAGATCCAAGGGGTGCAGAGTCCTCAGTGCCTTTGTGGGCTTCATGCTCCTCCACGTGTGACTCGGTGGCTTCCTTCTGTGCCCAGGCCCAGGTGAGCCTCACAGGCACCCACGTCCCTGCTGTACACCGGCAGATCCTTGGGTTGTGTCACCTGGGCAGGCCTGCGGTGGGGGAGCCCAGGGGGTCTGGAGTTTTCTGGTTGTCATTTTGCTTTTGTGTGAGGCATGTCTATTTTCCTAGTGAGTAACACTCTACCAATAAGGCCAGTGGGCTTCTTGGGTGTTCACTAGTTTCCCTTTATTGCCCCAGTCATGTGGGTCTTCACCGGCCAGTTACGGGAGGAGGGGACAGCTGTGGCACAGTGGCATTCCCGAAGGGAAGGTGGCGCAGGTGGGAGCCTTCTTACTGGGGAACATGGCTTTGGTGGGGGGGTAGTCCAGGAGGCCATCCTCAGCCCCTGCTCGCTCTCTCCACAGAAAGCGCCAGCGACGCTGTCCCTCTGCAGCGGTCCCAGTCTCTCCCGCACTCGGTGACGGTCGCCGTGGGTGGCACGTCTGACCCCAGCGCCCTCAGCAGCTCAGCGTTAAGTGAACGAGAGGCCTCCCGGCTCGACAAGTTCAAGCAGCTCCTTGCCGGCCCGAACACAGACCTTGGTGAGTCCCCCGCTGGCGGAGGGCACGTGCACCCACGCCCCCACGTGTGGTTTACTTTGTCAGAGGGTGATGTGTTTGTGTCATCCTGCCTGCGAGTCGCGGAGATGAGTCGTTTGTCCTTGAGGTTTACTTCAGCTGTGTGTTGGTAATGGGCTTCCAGTGCCATTGATCTGGTATTTTCTGTTCTGTTTTATTTTTTTAATCCTATTGAACTCCTTTGGCTCCTTGGAGCTGAACTGGTTTGCTCAGCAGGACTGGCCAGGTTGATGTCCCTGCTCTTCAGAGTGTTCGCGGGGACACAGAGCTGGTGGCCGGGGTCCTGAGTGCTGCGGACTTCACACCTTCCTCGGTGTAAAGTGTGGGATAGGCTTGGAACACCCCGGGAGCCCAGGCGGGGCTGGGGTGGGCAGGCCATCAGGGGGCCGTACGGTCAGCAGTGTGCTTCTTGGGGGTCACCATAGCTGCTCTGCCACCAGGCTCTGAGGCGGGTGCTCGCCTCCAAGTCCATTTGCTGGGGTTCCCCTTGAAGCTGCGTTCTTTCCTCTGTACATCTCATCTTTGTGGAGTGCCACGCTGCATCGGGCATCTTGCTGGCTGCGGGAGCTCTCTGGAAGGTGGGATGTGGCCGCGGTCATGAGATCACGCATGGTGGAGGGCAAGTGCTGGGGTGGCACGGCGGGGGGGCTGGTGCGCCTTGGCGGCAGTGCCCCGCTCCGCCAGCAGGTGGCGCGTGAGGCACGCAGCTGGGCCGCCCAGCAGGGAGGCGGGCGGAGGCAGAGCGAGCATGGAGCTGAAGGAAGGGCCCTGTCCGCGAGGATGCTGCTCCCCTTGTGGGTGCAGAAGGGTTCTTTCCCGCAAGTTTTTGCGTTTTCATTTTCCTGATTGATTTGCTCACGCACGTGTAACAGTCACGCGGCACCAGAGGATGTGCGGTAAAAATGTGTCGCTCTCCTCTTCCCCAGGCCTGCTTTACCTCCTTTGCATGATTCCAGGTGTCTTCTTCCAGGGACAGGAAGGGAGGCCTCTCGTTCGTTCACTTAACGCTGAGCTCCTGAGGGCGCTAGGGTCAGATGGTGCACATGATGTCTTAAACTTTTTATTTTGATGTAATTTCAAATTTACAAGAAAGTTGCGAGAACAGTACAGGCGACTTCTGTATTAATTCACCAATCGTTTGTACTTTGCCCCATCTTCATTCTGTGTGTGTGTGCTTCTGGGTCTGCATGCTTTCCCCGAGCCAGTTGAGTCCGTTGGAGACACGGTACCCCTGGACCCCTGAGAGCGTCACTGTGTGTTTCCTAAGCACAGAGGCACCGTCAGGACATTTCACAGCGAGCTGGTGTGCTCAGCTCATCCGCGGTGCACGTTCCCTTCCTGCCAGTTGCCCCAGTGACGTGCGTGGTGTCTGTCGCCCGGTCTGTCCTCCCCGTCAGCCGAGGGGGCCCAGCGTGCACCGTGTTCCCGGGCGTCAGGGCGCTTGAGGAGGGCAGGCCAGCTGTTGTGCGGCGCCCCTCAGCGGGGGTGTCTCGTATCCTCCTGATGAGATTCAGGCCAGGCGTTTGGCAGGGATGTCACCTATGAGGTTTGTGTTGTCTGTCACCGTGGCGGGAGGCCATGGGGCGTTTGGCCCTCAGGTTCAGGAGGGAGCGCTGGTGACTGGCGAGATGGTGGCTGTCAGGTCCTGCACGGGGTTGGGGGGCGGACACGACTCTTCTGTGCTGACTCAGAGGCCGCGTGTGGGGAGACGCTTCGGTGTCTGTGCGTTTATGCGTGTTCCCCCCCACGCGTGGCAGTGCCGTTCCGCCCCCACGTTAAGCCTCACAGCGTCTTTCCCGTGCTAGTGCTGGAGACGCGCCCGGCCCGCGCGGGCTGTGCCGCCCAGGACTCCTTTACCGCCCCTCCCGACGGGCACTTCGGTTCTTCCCAACGTCGTGTCACGGCAGTGGGCGTGGACCTGTGATCCTCGCCGCGCGCTGGTGACTAGCGGTGGGTATCGAGTGTCCTGAAACGTGGGTCTGGGGGAGGAGGAGCTGGGCTGGGAATCTCACCATGACGCGGGGAAGTCAGGTGGATCGGGCGTCAAGGGGTCTAGTCGTGGGGTTTGAGCACGTCCCTGGGCCACTTGCGTTTCCAGCCCGCCAACACACCTGTGCCCTTGAGGCAGCGTGGGGAGGCCAGGTCCCCAGAGTGCGGGGAGAGCGGAGCTTCTGGGGACGACTGCTGGCTGGGGGCGCGGGGTCAGTGTGCCCCAGCCCCGAGACTGGAGCAAGCCTGGGCGTGCTTCTGGGGTCCTCGGTCGCCTGCCCAGTGGCGCTAGCCGTGCTGTGTGGGCAGACCCAGGGAGGGGATGGCGTGTAGTGTGTTTAGGAGCGGGCCCAGCACACAGTGAATGCTGAACAGTGCTCGTCAACTGCCTGATTCATTGGCGTTGGCCTGTTTACCCTTCAGCTTGATTTTCAGAGCACCGATGCACGTGGTCGCCGTGGTGACTGCCGGGTCAAGGTGGCTTGCATGTGTCCTCTTGGTTGAGTTCAGCGGTTTCTGACAGTAGGGGGCACGGAGGTAGTTGGCGAAGACAAGATACACTGATAGGAATTGCAGTTCTGGGTCAGGAGCTGAGCCCCCCTTAGTCTTCTGGTGGACTTTGTCAGTGGACTAATTTGTGGGCATTAAAATCCTACTTCAGAACAAAGCTTTCAGGGCTCACGGGGAAAGCGGCTGTGCACGGGCAGGAGGAAGGGTTAACATGTAAAAATAAGATTCTTTTGTTGGGTTGGTGCCATTACAAGTGTTTTCTGTCTTTAGCGTTCTGTTTAAGTATCAAATCTCACACCAAAAAGCTTTCAAAGTTAAACAATTACTGAATTTGTATTTAGTGGCGGGAGAAAACACAGCCAGTAAATTGCCTGTTTTTATAAGGCATTTAAGATAGCCTTGGAAGACAGTGGAATATATTATCTCCACATTACATAAAAGACATAAGTGGCAAATATTTGCCAATGTTGGAGAAGCAAATCACTGATGTGAGAAGTGCCCACAGAAATGATTCTACCTGCTGAATGTCATCTCGTCGGCGGAGAGCTGTTTTTCTTTGTTTAGCTTGTGCTCTGTTATGAGCCTGGGGATGAAAGTAGCAAATAGAACTTAACAGCTCATTCTGCTCTTAGCATTGACTCAATATTTACTTGTGCAAAAGGCTGCTGCTTTAAAGCCCAGAAAATGACACTTGGAGGCGTTCATTTTTATCGCGTGCGTCTGTGTGTGGGAGCGGGATTGGGCCGAGGGCAGAACACGCGGTCCAGAGGCCCGCGGAGCTGCCTGGACTCAGTGGTGGGCCTCGAGGGCGTGGGGGCTCCGGGCCTTCAGCCGTGACTACCGGGGGAGTGAGGCTGGGTGCACAGTCTCGTTCCAGCTCCCCCGCCTGAGCATCCAGTCTGGCCTGAGGGTGGAGAGTGTCCCTGGATGGAGGTGGGGAGGAGAGGTGTTTTCTGGGGGGAAGGGGTCAGTGGAGCTGCCCACCCCGGAAGAGAGGTTGAGGTAGCTGCCCCCTCAGGGCCCGTGGCTGGAGGACAGCCATGTGGGGCCATGGTGGCAGGAGGAGGCATTCCAGCCTTGGCGCCAGGCCCTGGCTCTGCGTGATCCACTCTCCGCAGGTGACTGGGTTTTTCGAAATGACGCCCACCCTGCAGGGTCCTGTGACCCAGAGGTTATTTATGGAAAGCACCTGCAGGGTTCACTCATTCAACCAGGATTCGTTGGGCACTTGCTGTTGGTGTAGGCACTGGAGCGAAACAGGGAACCAGAACCCCGGGACCTGCCCTTCAGGACCTGACGTTCTGGTGTGAGGAGACAGGTGGGGACACACACACACACACACACACACACACACACACACACACACTCTCTCTCTCTCTCTCTCTCTCTCTCTCTCTCTCTCTCTCTGTCTCTCTCTCTGTCTCTCTCTCTCTCTGTACTCCAGAAACTCCCAGAAGGTGCTAAGGTGCACGTGGGGAGCAAAACCGGGTGGGTGGGTGCTGCTGTGGCTGAGCCGTCAGCCAAGACCCTTGGAGTAGGCACCTTAATTCAAGATGAAGTTGAAGTTGGGGCGGAGCCTCCCAAGGGGCCCGGCCAGTGTTGACAGGGCTGGTGCTTGAGGACTGGAAGCAGCTGCTGAGGCCCAGGTCTGGTGGGGGAGGGGCCGGGAGGGGGCAGAGGCCAGCAAGCAGGAAAGGACAGGTCCTGAGGGCTCTGAAGGCCAGAAGAAGGAGCTCACCATGAAGCCTCTGGGAGGTTGGGAACCAGGGAAGCAAAGCTTGGCACAGGGCATCTGGAAGTGGTTGCTCCTCTGTGGAAGGAAGGGCCATGGAAGACTTCCGGCCAGGGTGTCTCCAGCAGTGTTGGCCTGGGGCTGGGTCTGCGGGCAGCCCCTGGGAGTGCGGAGGGGGAGGGGTGGAAGGGCGGGGAAGGAAGTAGGGTAGTAGACTGGGGAAGGGCCTGAGGGTGTGGGCTGGGGGTGGGTGGGTGAGGCGTTTGCTTTCCCCCTGGGCTGCAGGGCAGGCTGGGGGGGCCTGGCAGCTGTTTGGACACGAAGCTGGCTAGACTGGGGAGCAGGGGAGGCCAAGATGGTACAGTGGGAGCCTCGGGGCTGTAAGGAGAGGGCCTCTGGTGCCCAGAGGGAGAGGGACTTGTTACACAGAACCGGGGCAAGCAGTATGGAGAAATAATTCCACGGTCCTGCCATTTTGGGTCCTCACTCTGTGGTGGCTACGATGTGTTCTGTGTGTGTTTATACACAGTCTCCGACTTACGATGGTTCGACTTTAGGACGGTGTGAAAGCAATGCACATTCAGTAGACATTGTACTTGGAATTTTGAGTTGGATCTTTTCCCGGGCTAGTGATTCCCGGGCTAGTGATCCGCGGTGCGCTCCTCTCCCGTGATGCGGGGCAGCGGCACAGCTCCTGGTCGGCCTCGCGATCACGGGGGTCCACAAGCGATAC